TGAGGTCAGCTCTTCCCGCCAGAGGGGCTCTGGGGTGGAGCAGTCTCCGTGACCCAACATGGGGATGGGTCCTGCCCGCCGCAGACTCCAGGCCGCTGTCAGGGCCAGGCCTGGGGGCCAGGAGACCGGCGGGCAGGGCCTGAGTCCCCCAGGAGTACGGTGGCTCTGGGGAAACAAGAGCACAGGAAGCAGCTGGCTGTGAGAGCAGGGACAGGCCCCCAGAGGCCACCCGCCCAGGAGGGGCAGGGAACAGGCACCATAAGTCAGCAGCTAGGCACCCAGCGCCCAGCCTGGCAGCCAGGCCACAGCAGCAGCTGCAACATGAGAAAGTGGCCCTGGCCAAGGCCCGGGGGAAGGGTGGGGCTGCTCACAGGTACCCCACATCGTGGGCCAGGGGCTGGAGGAGGAGGGAGCAGGCATGGTGAGGCCTTCCTCCTGCTGCAGAAGCCCAGTGGTTCCTGAGGCCACAGCCCAGCGGCAGGCATCACAGGGAGCCCCGCCCAGGCCTGCTCCCGCCAACAGGGCCAAGTCACAGGTTGGGACAAATCCCACTGCTAGAGACACCGCCTGCCTGCCTGCCTGCCTGCCTCGCATGGCAACAGGCTAGGGCAGAACTGTGCCCCAGCCCCCTTCAGCCGAGCCCCATGCTCCGCCCCCTGCCCCACTGGCACCTCCCCTGTGTTCCGTCATACCCTTATGAGCAACTAACAAAACACGGAGCCCCGGTGCTCATCAGCAACATGAAGATCACATCTAGGAATCTTAGTAAAATGTATCTATTTCCTAATTTAGAGACTAAATTAAAAAACGGTTTCTTTTTTCAACAGGCAGATTTTAATATGGAATTCAACTCCTAAGTAAAATTTAAAGTTAAAAAGTAGCTGCAGACTTGGAACTGAGCTATGACCAAGCATGTGTCTTACTCACAGGCCCTGAGTGAGGAATAAAACACACTTGCAAGTTTTTATTACACCAGCCTCTCTGGGATTTCCAAGTCTCGGGGGAGGGGCAAGGACTACAGGCCAGCAGGGGTTTGGGGTGGGGGGCTCCAGGACAACCTCGCAGATGGCAGATGGCCGGGCCTGAGGTGCTGGGTGAGGCCAGGGGCTCTTGTCAGGGCAGCTGTCCCACCCCACCCAATGGGTAACAGCCCGCTGGCCACGCCCCAGCACACAGTGTCCACTGTACGATTTTCATGCCGTTTAGTGGCTCAGCAGATGAAAGCATCTCATGGCGACGTCACCCTGGATGAGACCAGGCCTTCCTTACAAGGTGCACCTCGGGTGTCTCCGTCACGACAGCCAAATCCCACAAAGCCATCAGGCCAAGGCCCCACCGACACTGGTGGGAAAGCAGCTTTGAGGACACTGTCCAGGGAGAGAGGAAGCCAGAGAGCGCTTCGTGCCGGCTCCCAGGGCCACTCTGAGATCCCTGAAACACACCGCACAACACCCTGCAGACACCAAACACAATGCAAGTGCCCCTTCCACGCAGAGCTGAGCTGCCTGCAAAACAGGGAAGTCCTCAAGGCCAGAAATGAAAAGACAATGAAAAACCAGAGTGGCCCACGTCACGTTAGCACCTTGGCCCCATCGGAGGCCAACAGTGATGCCATGACCCACTGCCCGTGCTGGAAAGGACCCCTAGGACCCAGAACAGATGCAGGTACCGCCAGAAGGAAGCCCACCGGGAACCATGGATCCATGGGTCTGTCTGTTGGCTGTGGGGCTCCAAGGCGCCAACTGGAGAGGCCACAAAGTGGGAGCTGAAACAGAGGATCCCAAGATGTGGCCAAACCTTCTAGGCCCACGGGGAACTGCACTCAGACCATGTGCCTCAGCCCTGCATGCCTGGTGGTTCCCACCATAAAGCTCTGCTCTGCTGCCTGATGTGGCAAATCCCAGACATCAGACCCCGCGATGCAGAGGGAAGCACCGTGGGTCCAGAACTCCCACTCCCTGGGGTGGACGTACACAGCACAGAGCCCTAACCCACTCAGCCTCTGGCTCCAAAGGACACTAGGTTCAAGTTTACTGACCAGGCCATCCCAGCACTCTAGGTGGCTGAGGCGGGTGGATTGTTTGAGCTCAGGAGTTCGAAACCAGCCTGAGCAAGAGCAAGACCCCAGCTCTACTAAAAATAGAAATAAATTAATTGGCCCACTAAAAATATATAGAAAAAATTAGCCGGGCATGGTGGTGCATGCCTGTAGTCCCAGCTACTCGGGAGGCTGAGGCAGGAGGATCGCTTGAGCCCAGGCGTTTCAGTTTGCTGTGAGCTAGGCTGACGCCATGGCACTCTAGCTCAGTCAACAGAGCCAGACTGTCTCAAAAAAAAAAAAAAAAAAAAGTTTATTGACCAGTTTAGCTGGTACCTGTCAGCACCTGCTCTTCCCTGCCCAGGAGTAAAGCCCCTCAAACAGTGGCTGCTGGGCAGCACGGTGCCTGTCACCACCACCCGAGGGATTTGAGGAACGCCCTGCGGCCTGAAGGCTCCTGCTGTCACAGCCTGAACAGTGCCCACAAGCCTGGCTGGGGAGAGGACACCACTGGGACCCTGGGCCTCTGGCTTGGCTGCACCAGGGACAGGCACTGCCCTCCCCCAGGGGACTCTGCACAAACCACACCTTCCTGCACTTCCAGGACCCCAACAGCATCAGAAGACACCCCCACACACAGTGCAACGCTTCTGCTCCCAAAGGTCACAGGCCTGACCCCCTCCCCAGCAGAGGGGTAGGCAGAGGGCACTTCCAGGCACGGGGGTCTTCCCTTCTCCCCACTATAGGCAAGGGAACGCCAAAGGCAGCTGGCCACGCGGACACACCTACGTGGGCCAGGACAGGCCCAGATGGGAAGGGTCCTCACAGGCAGCCCCTGGCAGAGCAGCCCTTGCCGGCAACGATGAGGCCGGAGGACGGTTGTGACTGCCACTCCAGTGGGGGCAGGAAGCCACCCAAGGTGGGCTCGGGTGTCCACCTCGTCAGGGCTCCATCCAGCCTGCAGCAGGGCCTGGAGAAGCCTTTGCGGGTGAGGGACGGTGCTGGCCCGGGGCAGGACGCTGACATCACCCACACCAGCCTGGGCTCCTCAAGGCCTGGGCAGCCCTTGGAGGCCGCAGAGCTGGTGTGGGGCAGGGGTCGCTCTGTAAGTGGTGACAGGAAGCCTCGAGGACACCGGGCATTCCATGAATAAGCCTTGCTGAAACCAGCAGTGGCTTGCCACAGGTAAGCCCCTAAATTCCCACACTTGGGAATTGGCTCGAGATTTGAGCTACGGCACTTTTCTGAAAATTTCACAGTTCTAGAAATTACAAAGCTATTTTTATAAGTACCATTAATATTTTACACATGATAATTCACATTTCATATTACGCTCAAATTAACCTATTTTCTGGTTATTGTGGTACAGAGGAAACAGATTAAATTTGCAAGACTACCCCAAACCCCAAAATGAGGTGAAAATACCAATTTTAAAGATTCACTTGGATTTTTCTTTAACTTAACTAGGTCATCTTTGCTGTTACCAATGCTGTTCATGGGGAAAAGCTAAGTTTTCTAAGGAAACCAAGTCAACCATCTGGTCCCACGCCTGCCCTCTCCCGCCGAGGAGCCCCTCGTGGCCACTGCCTGCTGCCCAGTGTGACGTGCCGCACAGACGCTGCGTGGTAGAGCCGTCGCGTCTGTCGAAACCCAACGAAACCCAGCAATGGGGGGGAGAAGGTGCTGGAAGAAGAGTGTAAGGCTGGGCCACCCACCAGTGAAGGACTCGCAAACACCTGGCCCAGCTGCCCTCCCACCACCACCCGACGTCACTGGGCAGGAGGCATCAACTCAGAGCCTCTCCTGGGACCTGGGTCTGAAGCATCCAGTGCCCAGCCGCAGTGTGGCCACGTGGGCCCGCGTAGCCCTAGACATGGCCCTAAGCCGGGGAGGCCTGTGCTCTCCCACCCCACCCTGAGCCGGGTGCCCACCCTCAAACCACTGCACGGTCGGGACCAGTGGGAGGTGCTGCCACTCGGCTCTGCAAAACCTCTCTCGGAATGGGGAGAGAAAGGATAAGTTCCCCGGTGACGAGGGGCAGTGAAATGGGACCGGACTTGAAAAGAACAGGGCAGAATCCCAAGAACAGCGAGTCGGTCTGTGCATCTGCGGTTTCTGTGTTTCGGGTTCAGTCCTCTAACTGTTCTTGTTTCGGGCGGGGTGTGCGGGGATCTTTTCTCTTCCTGGCCGCAGGGACACTTGCTCCCTACAGACATTCCAGCGTGATGACTCGCTGGCGGGAGGGGCAGCCGTAATGGACGTCTGGCCGCCTGCCACCCCTCACCCACGATCGATGAAGACAAACAGGCCTTTCCACCCAGAATCAGAGGAAATGCTGCAGAAAGAGAAAAATGCGGAACACAGGAGGCAACGCAGGATGCTGCGGTCGCTGTTCTTGGAAGGCTGATTCACTAAGAATCGGACTTAATTAAAAGAGTGTTTCACAGGACAGCAGGAGAGAGGTGGCCCGTCCTGCCACATGCAGCTGTACGGGGCAGTGTCACACCCAACTCACCTGTGGGGCCAGCTGGGGGTCCCAGACGCGGCAAGGCCCCTCAGGAAAGGCGCCCTCCTCCTCCCACCAACGAGACCTTGACACCACAGAGGGTGTCGCCTGCCCCAGCCTCTCGGGAAAGGGCAGGCGTGTCTCTGAGGAGCCCAGCAGCTCTGGTGACCTCAGCCCAGCGGCCACCTGCTGTCCCAGGCCTGGTCTTTCTCTGCCCTGAGTCCTGGAAGTTCTCACTCATCCCCGACGGCCATGCACAACATGCAACGCAGCGAGAGGAGGTCTCGTGTCAGGAATAACAGCAGAGGCATCCTGAGTCCGGACAGCCGCCTCCACTCCAGCACATGACCAGCCCTGCCCGGCCTCTCCTCCCGCTGGGGACCCCTCCCGACCCCACACCAGCCAGGAGGAGCTGTCAGCTCCAGCTCCAGCTCCAGCTGCAGCCAAGTCCCCATCAACACCTCCCCCTGCCCATGCTCCCTGCTCCCCAGGCCAGCCCTGGGCCCACCTGCACCTGCCCCGTGACCCCAGGTTTCTCTGTGTCACCACAGCCCTCCCTCAGGACCAGCCCCGAGCAACAGGGACCCTAACACCCTGTGACAGGCAGGGGTCTCCATGCTCGGGCACACAGCCGTCCCACGATCCGCCTCAGGCGTGAGGGCTCAATGCGGGGTGCTGTGGAAGGTGTGCGTGGGTCCACAAGGCACGGACACTGGGGCAGCAGGCAGAGAGGACTTCCTCCCACAGAAGACAGCCTGGCAGAAGCTTCTGGAGGGAAGATGGCCTGGAAGCGTACTTAGAGGAGGAGGACCCTCTTTTGCTTGGACCTGTCATCAAGGCCACAGGCTGTGGACTTCTCAGACGCACCCGGCAGGAAGCTGGGGCAGAGTAGGCACAGGCCTCTGGGCACAGCCCCGCCTCCCAGGAACTGGGTTTGGGCACTTTGTAGGGGTCTCAGAAGCTGGTGCATCTCTCCAGGCCTTGGCAGAGTGAAGCTGGGGTGTTGGTGGCTCTGAGGCCACGTTTGATCTCAGAGGGGGAGGGTCTCGCAAGGGAGCCATGGGGAAGCCAGCGATGACATGCTGGCGGGAAGAACGGCCCACAGCAGCCACAGCACCTGAGGCAACCTGCCCGCGCCCACATGGGAACGCAGCAAGGGCTGCCCGGCCTCAGCAACCCTCGCCCCATGGGAGGCCCGAGCTCTGCAGGGACTGCATCCTGGTCTTGTGCTGCCCCAGGTGTGCTCTCACCGCATCCATCCCCGGAGGGAGGAACAGCTGGGTCTCAAGAGCTGGCAGACCTGAGCCCGCCAGGTTTCCATACAAAACACAGCCCCCCGTTTGTTCAACGCCCCTATCTTCCACACACAAAGGCTCCAGGTTCAGTGCCACGTGAGGGTTGTGCTGACCACGCTGGCGAGGGGGTGGGAGGACCAGGGGCGCCCAGGGACCTGTAGGAGGTCAGCCCCACAGGTCCAAGCATGGGGTGGGGACTCCTTCGGTGTCAACACCACCCTCCCAGCATATCGGCCCGCCTCAGTGACAGACACAGGGTTGGTGGGCTGGTTTGTGTTCAGAAGTGTATGAGAGATGAAGAACTCAGTCCCCAGGAGAAGGGTTCCCACCCACCCAACTGCCGCTAGAGCCCTGAGGACACTGCCATGACCCCCAACCTCCGGCTGGTGAGATCCCCCACAGACACAACTCAAAGAAAGCAAGAAGGGCCCCTGGGGGCCAGCAGCATCCCAGGGCCACTCAGTACAACAGGTGAAACCACAGGGCCCACACTGTGACTCCCAGAGCATCCCGCCGGAGAAAAGCACACACACACACACACACACCCATGCACACGTGTTAACGCAGTCAACTCAGCCTCTGAAAAGAGCCATCCTCACAGGAGATGTTCTCTCTCCTAATCTTAAAATAAAACTGAATTTAGGAATCTAGAATATTCACTTTTAAAGAAATAGCCCAGAGAGCAGTGCCTGGGGCTGCGGGGGCTTGGACCCTGTGCTGGGGCACGCACCAACAGGGCGCACCCAAAGACCCTGAGGAAGGGGCCGGGCCTGTGGCCCAGATGAGGGCAGCTCTCTTCCCTGGACATCCACCCATCCTGTAGCCAGGACCGCAGATGCACCTGGGAGGTCCCCAGAGGGGAGGGGAGTGACCTCTGTGGGATTCTCCATAGACCCGAGTTTTGCAGGGGTGAGGAGAGATTTCGGCTCTAAAATAAACCACAAGCTTGAGCTTCCTGCCAGCTCACGGGCTCAGCACAGGTGGGGACCCTTGAGGCCATCCAGGACCAAGGAGAGCCCTCACAGGGTCCACCTTGAGAAGGAGCCAAGTCCACCCCCACCCTGGGCAGAAAGTGCCTGCCTCTCAGAGACATTGCTACTTGAAGGTTTGGAGATTTTCATTTCTCTCCTAATTGGAATTAGATTTCCTGTCCAGGGCCAATACTTTCCCATCTTAAAATCTATATTAAAACATCCCGGTGCCTCCACCTGGAAGAAGACACGACCTTCTCTGTGCACAGGATGGGAAAGTAACCAGGAGCCCTACACGGGGCAGGGGCCGCCCAGACAACCGAGCCTCCAGGGTGAGCACATCCAACACCCCACCCTGGGGCCCCAGCACCCCCAGAGACAGAAGGCTGGGTGGGGTCTAGATGACGGTTGCTGTGGGGCTGGCTGCACCTGGGCGTGCACACCTGGGCCACAGCATCTGGGAAGAAAAGTGACTCTCCACTCCTCTACTGTGTAATCCAGAGCTGGCTTCGTGGGCGTGTGGCACTCCACTGTCCTCAGCTTGGAATTCTAGACAATTTCACTTCTGACAAAATCTTATTTTATAAGCAAAGTCCTACATGGGTACAGAACAGGTGAGTGGGTTGGCTCACGCAACACGCCTGTCCACTGCCACCTGGGCCGTGCACTGGCTCAGGGCTCCGAGGCTGCACCTCCTCAGACCAGCACCTTCGCAAAGGTGACGCGTCTGAGAAACAGGCGTGGCAGGGAGGCCGCAGCCTTGACACCCAGTTACTTTCCCTGCCCGCCAACGTCTCACACTGTAAACCAGGGTGGAGGGTGACACGGCCACAGCCCTGTGGCTCAGCCTCGCTCGGCAGCGGAGGGAGGGTGTGGCCACAGCAAGGAACAAGAACTGAAACCAAACAGCTGCGCTAGTCTGTGCAGCATCTCCACTGCCGTGGTGAGAACAAAATCCATATGCATGTCCGGGTATAAAACATGAATTGTGCAATTTTGGTGATTCCACGAGTTAAATGCTCTCACATTTGCATTTTAAACTGACGTTACACAATATAAAGATGAATGGTAAAACTTATAGTAATAACTTAAATTTCTAATTTTTCTCAACTTTTAAAATGACGTTGAATAGCAAGAGAAAACCACCAGGACAAGTTGACAGGGAGCGCAGAACAGAGGCTATTCGTTTATACTTAAGAAGCTCTCGATCCACTTTTTCCCACCATTTGGAGCAGGGACCAAGTTGCATAGCTGGCCCTGGGCACTCCTCCCCTCACACCTGCCACGAAGGGCCGGGGGACACGTCCGGCCTATGCTGGGCCAGGGTGTCCTTGGCAGGGCTACTCCCAGCAGTCCTCGAGACGGGCAAGGGCCACACCGATGCCCCAACCACACGCGCCCCAAACAACTCGGGGCAAAGGATTTAACAAGCAAGGGGGGCCGGGCCCAAGCGCAAGCAAAGGGCCTTTCTGAACAGAAGGCACCACAAGTGTGCGGCAAACACCAGCCCACCAGCGCTGATGAAGCCACGCGTACCTAGGGCACCTGAGTAGCGAGGGCTCCCGCCACCACTGCTGCTGGCCACGAGAACTTGGGCAGGCTTTTCTAATCTGTCTGAAAAATATCTTCCAGAGGAAGAGTTTTAAGCCCATTTGTTAACACCTTCCAAATGCATGTCAAAAGCCGCTGACGTCAGGGAAGATGGAAATTTACTAGACAGATGGGGACAAGTTTGCACGCCAACTGCCACACGACACCGACCTCCGAACCAGACTGACACTGTGCCACAGGAATACCCTATGAAGCCCGAACACGAAATAAAACTTTATTTCAGAATGAACAAAAAAAGCTCTCTGTTCCGTTAACTCAAATTACAAAATGAAATCGTTCCTCACACCTTATCAGAAAGGTCCACTTCGGGTCCAGCTGTCCGGGGCGGCAGCGTGTGGGTCCTGGACTCGTCTCTGTGCCTCCCCAAGGACGTGGGGCCCGGAGAACCATGGCCGGTGCTGATGGCCACTCTCTCGCCACCAGGACCTCAGCGCAGGCCTGGAGAGTGCTGGGTCTCACAGCACCGCTGGCTCTTCTCTGCCTGCAGCCCCTACCCACCCGAGGGCCAGGACCAGTGTCCACACTGCTAGCCAGCCCTCATCTCAGGGCAGGGGCTGCGGGGAGGGAGCTGCCATCCACCCACTGTCACGCGGGCCCCACAGCGGGTCCTCCAGGGATGGCCCCACGAGCTCTGCCAACCAACAGACAAGCTGCAGCGGAAGGGTTCCTGCCCCGGGCATCACAGCACCCTCCTGGCAGCCTCACTCCCCCGCACACCGGCAAATCTCTTCCGATCTGTCCCTGCCGTTAACCAACCTGGGTTCTAGGTTTCTGTGAGACAACTGTCAAAAAGAGGCAAGTCTGAGAATGGCCTCTCCCTGCTGTGCCAATCCACAGCCAGCTCCTCTGAGGACCCTGGGAGGAGGGAGAGTGACTTCTCGGCAGGGCCAGGGCCAGGAGACCTGGTGGCAGTGCACCAGGGTCTCAGGCATCATCCAAGAGCCCCTGGTCAGGCACGAGGAAGCACGCTGTGTGAGGGCCAGCCCCAGGGCAGGGCTCTGGGGGGTGACAGTGATGGGCAGGAGAGCTGCAGCCTCTGGGAGTCGGTCTCCGCACGCTGAAGTGGCTGCGTGGGAAGCAGACAGACCCCAGCCTCGGGCCTTATCACAGACACAAAACAGCCCAGTAGGACAGAGTCCCCAACAACCACGACAGACGTGGACCTTGAGGCAAAGGGGGTGTCTGGGTCTGTGGAGGGGGCGGCAGGAGCACCACACCTGCCAACAGGGCATCCGCCCCCGAGACGGCCTGGCCCACAGCAGCTCTGGAGACAGGCGCTTCCATGAGCCAGGAAGGGGAAACTGCGGCCAGCCCCGCCTCACCCCGCCAGCGGGTCTACTCAGCCTCCTCTGGCGGCTGACGCCCACAGTGTTTTCTCTCCATAGAAACCGACACAACACGGAGCCAGGCCTCCACTGCATGGACCCTCCCCGCCCTCTGGGCAGCTCGGCCTGGACTTCCGGCTCCGCAGCAAGGCAGGGCACCCAGAGCCTTGGGCCCCACGCTGCTCACAGGGCTGGAAGGCACGAGGAGGTCCTGCAGCTGAGGACACAGCCCTTGCCGAGAGGCCCCTGGCCTGCAGCACAACATCTGCCTGGGCGGAGGAAGTGGCTGCCAAACCCACAACAGGCAGTGGGACGGCCCCGCTCCCGCCAGCACAACACAGGATGACGACGGGCTCCTCCCAGCAAACTGACAAAACCAACGCCTCTCCGAGATGTCACCCGAGAGGCGCAAGGCGTGTCCCTCCTCACTGTCGACTTCACACACACAGCCTGCCCCTGCCCACCAGGAGCCCCCAGGTCTCTGTCCTGCAGGGTGGGCTGGGAGACGAGGACAAGGCCTGGGCCAATGTCGGGACGCCCACGCACATGCAGGACAGGGGGAAGTTTTCCAACTGTAAATGTACATCTTCATTGTCAGAAGGGGTCCCTCAGGCCTCCGCGGACGCAGCTTCTCAGCACCCCCAGAACTGCAGTGCTGGACAGAGAACCTGGACTCCAGTGCCCAACACCGAGGGACCTCCTTCCCGCTGAGCACCCAGGAGGGCTTCAGGCTCCCAGCACCAGCAAGGGGTGGGCTCGGCCCACCCAGACCCCAGCCTCCGCACCAGCACAGGAGGCAGCTCAGGCACAGGGTGTGTAAGGGGGTCGAGACGTTTCCAGCTAGTGTCAAGATGTCAGGTTGGAGCTGCACCAGGGGGCTGAGGCTCAGGTCACAACCCACCCTTGCGAGTGCCAAAAGCAGCCCGTGCTGGGGCGCTGAGGACAGGAGCTGGTGCCCCGGGAACCACCCCTTGCTGGAAGCCCCATTGCTGACCTGGGCACTGCTTCCTGTCATCGTCCTCCTCCTCCTCTGGACCTACAATGAAGGGATTCCATAGCTCTTGCAGCCCACTCCCTACCACCCTCTGCCCCACTGGACTCCAGGGCCCTGCTCAGGGCCACCAGACCTGGGGCTCTGCTGCCCAGCCTCAGCCTGTATTTCTTGTCTCGAGGTTTCTCTACAAGGTGGGCAGCGGGTCAGGTAACACTTCCAGGGGCAGCCCTTGCTTCCCTCCCCAAGATTGGAATATTTATTTTTTTAGAGCCAGAGTCTGGGCCGGGCGAGGTGGCTTGCACCTGTAATCCTAGCACTCTGGGAGGCCGAGGCGGGCAGATTGTTTAAGGTCAGGAATTCGAAACCAGCCTGAGCAAGAGTGAGACCCCATCTCTACTATAAATAGAAAAGAAATTAATTGGCCAACTAATATATATATATATATACAAAAAATTAGCTGGGCATGGTGGTGCATGCCTGTAGTCCCAGCTACTTGGGAGGCTGAGGCAGGAGGATTGCTTGAGCCCAGGAGTTTGAGATTGCTGTGAGCTAGGCTGACACCACAGCACTCACTCTAGCCTGGGCAACAAAGTGAGAGTCTGTCTCAAAAAAAAAAAAAAAAAAGGAGACAGAGCCTAGCTCTGTCAGCCAGGCTAGAGTGGTACAATCATAGCTCATGGCTACCTCAAACTCCTGGGCTCAGGCGATCCTCCTATCTCAACCTCAGAGAAGTTGGGAGTGCGGGCACTGCCACCATGCCCGGCTAGTCTCTCCATTAATTTTTCTATTTTTAGCAGAGATGGGGTCTCACTTTTGCCCAGGCTGGTCTTGAACTCCTGGCCTCAAGCGAACCTTCAGCGCCTTGCTTCACCTCGCAGAGTGCTGGGATGACAGGCATGAGCCACCGCCCGCACATTCAGAGGATGGTAGTGCCCGGACAGCACAGTACCCAGTGCTCTCCCAGGGGCAGGCTCCCCGACAGGGGCTGGGGCAAACTCGTGGAGTTAAACCCACCTGACTGCAGACAGATGTTTCTCCTAAATGGTGAAGAACTTGGATGGCTGGGGGTAGGGGCCCAATTTCACCTGCTTTTTAACTAACCCCACTTTAAAACTGTCGCTTCTCACTCAGGAGACCTGTCAGTGAGGACTGTGCCATGGGCCCCACAGAGGACATACATCCACACAGGTCTAAAACGAAGAAGAAAGAACCTTTAGGTCTAGGGCTGGGCCAAGCTGTGCCCTGGTGGGGGGTGGGGCACAGCCACCCTCCCCCTGCGCCCCGCCCTCCCCTGCAGCTGGAGCTGTTGTCAGAGGAAGGGAAGCATTTCCTGTGTCCCCTCCCCCAATTCCCCTGCATTCTTGGCAAGCCCAGAGAGGAGGCCTCTGCAAGAACTGGGGGGGGGGCAGGCGAGAGGCTGGGAGAAAAGCCAGGCCCCCCCTCGCACCAGGCTCAGGGAGCAAAGCCAGGAAGGAAATGGGGGAGGGGCAACACGGTGCCCAGAGAGGGGCCGGAAGGGACACCCCATCACCCATTGAAAGCAGCCTCTGCTGGGCCCACAATTCCCTCCCTCAGGTACCCACCAGGCTGCCAGCCCTAGGAGAGTATTGGTGCACAACAGGGGCTGGGGTCCCCCTGGGGGAAGGGGCTGGTCAGAGGATCCAGAAACCGACCACTCTGTGACAGTCCACAGGAGAGCAAAGCTCCCCCAACCCAACAGGACGGTGGAGCCCCTCCAGGACACAGGTGGCCAGCGGGGCTGCTGAGAGCCTGTGTGAGTGGGAAGATTAGGGATCTGGCCCCTCCACCACATGAGGACACCAGAGAAGGAGCTGTCCTCCCCATACCCCACACCTGCTGGTGCCCTGATCCTGGACCCCACCTTCAGGAACAAGGATCCACCGGCCCGCTGCTCTGAGGGCTGTCTCCTGGCCTGGCCGCCAAGGGAGGCAGACACAGGACGGGCTGCTGTGGACTTCTCCCCAAGGAGCTGTCTTCAGATCAGATTTAAAAACCTGCAGATTTTACCAGTGGCCGCCAGACTCCCTGTCCCATGGTCCAGGTATGTCCCCCCAGCACCGTCTTTGCGGGGAAGCAGGCAAGGCCAAAAGGCACCAATGCCCAGCAGTGCCCACTACAAAAGCATTGGGGCTGGGGGGGCGGGGGAACTCTCCTACTCCAAAACCAAGGAGAAGAAAAACCACAAAGGACGCCCAAAAGCCCAAGTATGTCAGGAATGAAGCTGAGGAAAGAGGCTTTTCATCTTTTCCAGGTAAGATCAGCCGGTGCTACTCAAAGAAAGCAGCCAGGAATCTGAGGATTACAATACGGGAGGGAGGGTTGTGGCTGGAAGACAGCAGGCGAAAAGGTGCAGGTGTTTTCCAACGGGGCAGCCCAGGTGGGAGTGACCTCGGCAGGTCTGCAGCTGCCCAGCCCCACACAGGGAGCACCGCGACTCTATCCTCAAACAGAAAGCTCTGTGCTTCCAGCAACGCTGTCTCTGGGGCGTTGCCAGGATGGCCCTAGAGGCACAGACGCCCCACCTGGCCCGGCTCCCCCACCCCAAAGGCGCCCTGACCTCCTGACCTCCCTCGAGGGCCAAGGGCCGGCCCACCTCCTTCTCTGGAGATAAACATCTCACACCAAGAAAACAACCTTTGACCAAAGCAGGTGAACTTCTGAGCCATGTGCTCCTGGGGTAGCCTGCCTGCTGTCCCAACCAAGTGCAGGCAGAAGTGGTGGGGGCACAACTGTTGCCCTCCCAGAAGCTCAGCTGCGTACGACTAGACAGACGTGGGCCCAGGTGCCAGTTCCTAAAGTCAGGTGACTGAGAGCTTCTCCAAAGAGCAACCTCCCCCTGCTCAGGGAAGGACCAAAGAAAACAGTTTGAAAGACCAAAAAGAAACCACTCACTTCTTATCAGCCTCAGTGGGCTGCTTCCCCCAGGACCACCCCCAATTTGCCTCCTGGTATGTGGAGCCTGTAGAATCCCCTGCCCAGACAGGAGAGGCATTAGGCCTCACTGGAGTTGTCCCACTAAGAGCTGAGGTGTTCTGGGGGCTGGGGCTGCAGGGGGTCTACCAAGGACCCTCCTGCAGAGCCAGGGCAAGAAGCCTGGCTAGGCCCAGGAGGGACATCTAAAGACAACATGCGGAGCTGAAACCACCCTGTCCAGGCCTCTCGAGATCACATCAGAGCAACTCCTCCAGTCGGGTCTGCACGGTGCAACGTAAGGCTAAGAAAGGTGTCAGGAAGGAGCTGCTGCTCTGACTGCTCAAGGGCCAGAGCTCCTTTCAAGACAAAACCAGGGCCCAGGAACCACCAACGCCAGATTTCAACCAGACCCCCAGAGCCATCACCCTCTCTCAATGCCCTTCTCTGGACAGCAGCCCTTGGGGATGGGGGCCCCATGACGAGCCTGCTCCGCTGGAGAAGCCCTGGTGCCCCACCCCACGCGCTGCTTCAGCTCCACATCTGCCACCCTGAGAGGTGCCAACCCACATGGCCCAGGGGGTGCTGGAAAAACCATTCCAGAGAGCAAGGGACAACACACCCCAAACAGCTGGGACACCATGCCCACCCTCACAGGGGGCCCAAACACGGAACCAGGCAGGGGCTGTCAAGTGCCGGGGCCAGGGAAGTGACTAAGGATGGTGGCAGCAACCTGCCTCCTCCCCCGCCCAGCCCCACACACCCTGGCACCCACCAGTGCCACCGTCCTCCTGCATCCCATGCTGCAGCCAGTGTCCAGAGGCCCTTGTGAATACCACCGGCCAACTGACAAGGGGCGGAGTGGCCATGTCCATCACACTGAGGCTCCAACCTGGAAGCCACCTGGAAGCACATGCAGCCAGCTATCGCTGGGCCTGCCCACTGTGGAAGGAGAGATCACACCCAGGTGGCCCCAGGAGGACCGAGTGTCCACACGCCAGAACACACAAGGCCACCACGCACGACGCGTGAGCAGAGTGTGGGCTATAGTGATGGCCACACCTGGGCCTTGCAGCACACACTCTGGAAGTCCCACAAGGAACTGGACAGAGGTGTAGTGTCCCTGAACACCTGAGCATTTTTAGCCTATAAACAGCTTACCCACAAACCAGCCAAGGGAAGGACAGAGGGAAGGGCCAAGCTGCAGGAGGAGGAAAAGAACCTCCAGGCTACCACTGCTGCAAGAGAGGTTTTACTTGCAGTCAGCATCGTTTGGGAAGGCTGTGACCATGACAGGATGGCCACAGAGGGCAGACTGCGCACCTGGCCCAGAACCTGACGCCATCCAGGGAACACGGGCAGGGTCTTCTCACCTTCGCCCACGGCCCTCCACGCTGGGTGGGGTGGCCCTTGGCCACATTACACTGTCCCTCTGTCCCCCTCAGGCCCACTGGGCACATGCCCTTAGCCACCAGGCCCTGTGCAGGGAGAAGCCAGGCCACCCTTTCCAAAGGCAGGGGCGAGGCAGGGGGTTTCTCTGGCTCACAGAGACACTCAGGCATGGGGCTGGTGTGAAGGCTGACAGCAGGGAGCCAGGACACCTGCTCAGAGCCACAGCACAGCCAAGCCATGGCGCCTCAGGACACCCAGCCCAAGCATGAGGTGGGCTGAAGGCTGAGCAGAGCCTCTGATGGGAGTGGGTCAGGTGGCCACAGCACACACAGCCAGTGAGGACCCGCACCAGTGCAGCTGGCTCTTGGGATCTCCTGCCCCAGAGCCTGGGGCCCGTCGGTGCCTTGGCTTAAATGCAACAGAGCCAGAGAGAGTCAGGAGCTCCTCCAGGACCAGAAAGGGCTAAGAATTTGCTAGAACCAAGTTATCTGCAAAGCAAGACTGACAAAAGGCCAGTGTCTTTATTTAGTCAATAAAAAGTGGCAACGGGAAAACAGGTGAGGAGCAGGAACAGCTCTGCAAGGAAGACACAGCCAGGCCTTGCCACAAACATAGCCAGGTGAAGGCAGTAATCTCCTCTCTCACCTACCAACCTCGGGTATCTCTCTGGGATGACAGTGCTGGGTGCAGGCAAACGCCCCACCCGCCTGCACATGCAA